CACCTTTCCTTTTGGATAAAAGAAAAGTCAGTGGCAACTCTTGCTAACCGCAACATTTGTGATCAAACACAAAACAACCAAGTCATTTCTCCCACCGTATCACACCAGGACACTCATGCGCATTATGCACTCTATCATCATCACCATCAGACCAATCATTCTCCAGATCCAATGCTCCATGCGCTCTATCATCATCACCATCAGACCAATCATTCTCCAGATCCAACGCTCCAGGTGACTGGAGACCATGTTGGACATCCTAGCAAGCCTCCCACTGGATCCAACACAACATTGGGCTTGCATAAGCTCTGGGCTTTAGAATTCCAGTCTGCACCCTCCAATTGGGTTTCACACCCCCTCATGCCCATTTTCAATTTCTTTCTGTTTTTTTATTTAGTTTATTTATTTTTGTTTATTCTTTTTTTTAATCATAAAAATCATAAAATCAAAAATCATCACAAAAAAATTAGTACTTAGTTTTTTTCCTTAATAAATTAATTTTTTCAAATTAATTAATTAAATTAACTTTAAGTTATTTTCTTTAAATTAAAATTAATTAGAGAATTAGGTTAAGCTTCTAATTTCTTCATAAAATACAAAAAATATTTTTTAATAAACAATTAGGTTTTCTAGGGTTTAGAACTTTTTCCCGTTTTAATTTTTGCGCGTCATTACTTTTTTTCATACGATTATTTTTTATCATTTATGTAACTGCGCCCGATTTGTAATAGCTAAATTAGGGTTTTTATTTTCGCATTTTACTTTTCAGTCCGTAACTTATGTATCTACACCAAAGCTCTGTAATAGCGTAGGAACTTTTATTTCTTGCTCTTTATATTCTTATATGCTTGTATATAATTGTTAGTAACTTAGGCGTGCATGACAAGATTAATCAATTAACCATTAGATCACTAATCTCAAGACAAAAATCTGAAAACAACATTATTGCACACTTGCAACCTTAGGGTACTCCTCACTTGGTTTCCTTCGGAAATGGTCATGTCCCTCGAACATAGAGATATCTTAGCAATGACCCTCAATTTAAAAGTCATCATAAAGACCACAGTCCCTTATTGTCCCTCGAGTTGCCTATGAGAAATGATCTTGTCCCTCGATGTTGCCTATATGATGACAACCCCTTCGGAATACTAAGGTATCCTTACATGTTGCCTTCAATGACCACAACATCCCTTCCGATAGTCCCTCAACATCCAATGATAGGGCTACCTACTCACTAATAGTAGGATAGCACTATCTAAAGGAAAGGAGAAAAAGAACATCCTTTTTCGAGTAGGTAGATAACTCTTAAATACTTGCTCAAATTTTCTTTTACACTTACACACTTTCAAAAACGCTTTATCACACTATTGAGGACTGATACAAGAGTTACCATAAAGCAAAAAAAACTTTCAAAACACACAAACACAAATAATTTTCAAAAAATGAGCAAGTACCTAAGAGCCAGTGGAAAACCACGGATGGAAAGGGTGCTAACACCTTTCCTTTCTATAATCTACCCCCCTTACTCAGAAAATCTCGAAAAAGGTCTTTTTCTGTTCTTTTCACTCTTTCCTTTGTTGGATAAAAGAAAAGTCGGTGGCGACTCTTGCTTACCGCAACATTTGCAAACAAAAAACGCATACCAGTATAACAGTCGGTTCTACTACCGTATCACACCAACCCTAGGTGATTAGGATGAATCTCCAAAGTGAAGACAACACCACATCCAATGCTCCATAATCCCTTGAGGATTTACAACAGAACAAGAGTTTCATACTCTCATAGACTTGATAAGAGATATCAAGTTTGAGTAAACAAACTCTATCCTATTAATGAAAAACACCATCAGATACACTGAGAAAAATAAATTCTCAATAAAAATGTCAAAACATTCCATCTGACAAGTCTTCAAGGTCTTCCAGTCTTCATATTAAGGAATCCCCCTTAATAAATGCTCATAGAATCTTAGAGAATTATACCTTCTCCCTACCAAATGTTTTACATCCTATAATTGGTACATGCAAAAATTCTCCTCCAAATAGAATTTGTTTAGTGTCCACAAACCAGACTCTATAAATCTGGCTTCTTTGATCAGAAGGATCTTCCAGATGTTCATAGAAAATGTCCTCGACATTTTATCTTTACCTCCACATATAAAGGATCTAAATGATATCTCCTTATCAAGCTTTCACAGACACCAGCACCACCTCTGCACTTTCACTTTCCCGGATCAGAAATAAACTAACCCAAGAAGTACACGATATGTTGATCGTGTCTTGACCAACATATTAATCTAAGACATGTTTCTCATCAAAGAAACTTCTTAGAACCATATGCCTCCTCTTCCAGATCAGGAGTAGGTTTCAAACATATGTAAGAGATACATATGTGTTTAGAACCTAAGCATCTACAATGCCCTACCTTTATCCAACAAGATTCTGCACAATCTGCTGGTATGATGTTCCAACATCTGGTAGGACATAAGTTCCCTTAACAAGGAACACAACTAGAGATCCTTTATCAAAGCCCAGAGATTAGCTTTTTAGGTTATGAAGCAACAATAAATTCCTTCTGCCGTATCTTTTTTCAACAAACTCATATGTGAGTGCCTTTATGAGTGGACTTGGGATAAACCTCAAGTATCGTTGGAAACTCTAACAAGTTATTCGATCATCTCCTCAAGTATCACCATACCATGAGATACACCTTCAGAAGAGAATAAAGTGTTGCAAACTTAACACACCAAACCACCAGAGGTCTTCCATCAGATATACACCCAGCAAAACACAAACCAGAAGACTCCTCCCCAACATTCAGAAAAATAAACCTTTGCACAAACACACCAACTCCAGGTGAAACAGGTTAACCTAGGTTTGAAAATAAATCAAACCCTGTATACAACAACTCTCCTCTAAAGCAACATGCCTGAGAATAACACAGACATGACCACTACACCTCCTGTCAAGAACAATCCATCCTCCACTTCTAGGGACCGTTCAAAAAACAGCATGAAATCTCCAAGTTCAAATAACTTTTCAGTAATACCTTCCTTGCCCATGACCAGAAAGTATCATCCAAGGATCTCACCATGAACAGAACAGGATGCCTGCTTTGATACCAATTGACATTCTGGTACGACAGAACCAAGATGTTCTAAGAGGATGTCGAGACATCCGGTCAGACAAAAATAACACAGACAAGGTATAAACATTAAAACTAGTACTGAAAAATATAAAAACACACAAAATTGTTTACTCAGTTCGGTCTAACTACCTACTCTGGGGGCATACCAAGCCAGGGACAAATTCACTACTAGTAGTATCAATTTAAAGCCAAACTCCACCGTTTACAACTTATCACTTAATCACTACCCTCACTAGATTTCCATCTAAGACTCATCTAGATATCAGACCCTCCTCAATCCCTTTTCAATCACAGACAGCGATTGGATCAACACAAATTTGAACAAACAGGAAGACACACTTCCATGACAATCACTAGCCAAGACTCTTGACTAAGATCACAACTTGAATTTACTTCAAAGCTTCCTCCAAGAACAATACTCAACTCTTGCTTCACAGCTTCGAGAAGAGCATGGTGACCATCCCACAACCCGGGTGGTTCACCTTAACAAAACTTTAGACTTCTACATCTTGAACTCGTGCCAAACTAGGTTACAAACCCTCTTATTTATAACCTATTCCCAACTGGACTAGGGCTTTTTAATAACAACAAATCAGCTGTTACAAACCAGCAAAAACTTCTGCTACAAACAAGGTCTTCAATCATTAGTTTCCTAAATAATCTCCATATTTAGAAACTGTATAATCTTCAAATATTCTGACTTGATTATCTTGACCTTGATTTTAGCGCCACATAGGATTTTATAATATTCCTTGAATATTCTGCACTTGTTAAATTGAATTACTTCATTGAGGCATGATGTCTTATGCTGCTTCATAGGACATCTTATTCGACATATTGTTTCAAATGTTTAAACTTCTTCAACTCAACATTTCCCAACATAGGATATGACTTCTTGCTCAACTTGTTCCTGTTAGCAAGTTATATATATCCTACCTATCATATTGCTATCTTATTTTTTTAATAAAAATTAATGTTAATCATAAAAATAAAGAATTAACAAACACCAAAAGAAGCTAGTGAAAAAGAATCAAAAGGATAAAGACACCAATAAGGAGGAAGGATTGAAGTCTAAAGCTCTTAAGGCTTCAAGTTCAAAATCCTCAAATGATGAGCACACTAATGATAATGATTCTTGTGATGAAAAAGGTTCGGATGATGAAAAAATGGGATTATTTGTGTGGAGATATAATCGATACATTCGGAAAAATGGTGTCAAACACTCCGACAATAATCTTGTAAAATTTAGAAGACAGTCTAATCCTCTAAAGATAAAGACAATAAAGAGATAAGGAAAAAATGTATTTGCTATGAATGTGGAAAGCCAGGTCATTATAGATCAGAGTGTCCATCTCTTGACAATAAGAAAGGAAAGGGCCAACGAAACAACTCTAGTAATTCTAGAAAAGCCTATGTTTCTTGGGATAATGATAGTGATGTCTCAAGTGATGAAAGCTTAAGTGATAGCGGTGAAGAGGAAAACTACTATTTCATTGCAAATCAACGTCAAAACAAGAAAAAGAATGTAAGTCATTCTAAATATGCTAATGTTGATAAGTTATATTTTATGGAGTTAAAAATTGCTTTTGATAATCTACAGAAAGAAACATTATATGTGTACATCCTGGAATATTTATATCAAAGTCGAGGTATGAACTCAGATAAATGATGATGAGATTAGAACATACTACTTGGTTAGGCTCAGTCGAGTATGAGCTCGACACATTACCACCTATGTACAGGAAGTCGGTCTCGAGGAGGATAAAAAGTGTAACCGTGACCTAATGATAAGACAGACGGTTACAGACGTTACAAAATCATTAAAAGGAAGTTACAAGTATTAATGGATGATTACATGATTATGATCATTAACCATGACTATTCAATAAAAGTCATCGCCTACAGTATATATAGGCCTAGAGGCCGAAGGAATGGAGCTCTATCTTTATATCTCTCATTTACTACAAATTCTCTACAACCTATATCAAAGAGACATTACACTTCATACATTGGGGATTCTCATATGAGAGATAAGACAGACACTACTCTTAGGTCTATACCTACCTCTACGGTAGTACTCAAATCCCCTTATAAACCCACTCTAGCGACTTCCCCTACTCCTAGCATAAAGCTGGTCAAGCTGGTAAAATATTTATTTCAGACAGAAATATTGACACCCACAGTAGAGCTTAATAAAACTTTCCAAGGACACACATCAAAATCACATTCATGATGTCTTTCACATATCTTGCCTAAACTATCACCTTGTTGCTAGGTGATTCACGTTAAAACCACGGTCTCACAACAACAACATCATCTTCCATGAGATTCACGCTGAAGGCCTCAACCGATCAATCGACATCCACAAAGGCTATTAACGAAGGGCTTGAAACCCATTACCGTACCTTTCTATCCATGGTAACAGTACATAACGCAAAACAACGAGGATGGAACTTTCTTACTTTCACTCAGTAAACAACGTGGATCTGCCCGATCTAGATTCCGATTCGGATCCCCCACCTCTCTCCTTCCATAGAAATCTGATACTCATGGCGACATGCCCGACTGCGCGGAGGTTACAATCGATTCCTCCGGCGAGTTCATCAAGGTTACATCGTCGAAAGCTTGTTTCGATCAGATCGGAGGTAACATAAAATTCAAAAGCAGATCAGGTGGATATCAAAATATCAATCTCGCCTTCATCGGTGTCATCAAGCCAATCTGGATTCGCACGAGCGTTAGCCCGATTTATGTTCAGTGGAGAATCGGACGAGGCCTTCAAAGTGGATTGTGCCTTGAGAGTAAATCGGACGAAGCAATATCCATTTGATTTACAAGAAGAGTCCGCATCAATTGGTTACGTGAGGCAGAAAATCCAGATGCAGAAAGTAACATATTAAGAGCAGTCCACGGAGTTACCAGAAACGATACCAACAACGACAATCAAAGATAAGTCCTCTTACATAGTCTATTGGTTGACCATAATAATCCAATAGGAGCGAGATAGATCCTCGGAATTTGCTATTGGTTATAGTTTAAAATGTTGAAATACATGTATCCTGTTACGGTCTTCGTGCTAGCATAACCTCACCTCTGACATTTTTGTGAACAGGAAGTTAGTCCCTTTTGCATGACACAACGCAAGGCCGCATATAGCTTTCATTTTACTAAGTTATTTGGCTGTGTAGTGTGTCAAAATTGCAGAAACCATATACAAATTCACATAGAGGTTATATGGCGGTAATTATGCCGGGTGCTAATCATTGTTTTGCAGGGGCTGGATTTTACGATACGTGACGCACTGGTCTTGATCTTAGCAATACCACAATTAATGTGTCAGACATGGAATCCAATGTAGACGATTCAATCTACTCGAGAAACATGTGGACGGAACAATTGCTTGTACCTATTGTATTTTTTTTAGATATGTATTGTATTTTGCATAGAACAATAAATACCTCATAGATGGTGTGGCGAACAGATGAATGTCAAGCGTATATTGTCTGTGGTAGTATCACCAAATCGGGCTAAAAGAGCCTAAGACCAGGAACACAAACGCCGGCATTCCCCGAGCTATGCTGCGTATCACAATCCCGCATCATAAACCGGTGCCGCAAGTAAAAGATAAGTTTATTATTCTTCTCTGTCATGAGTTTCAGATATTTGATTAAATGTGTTGTATCCAATCTGCATCTTGTCCGAGTACGTATTTGCACGAAGTCTATCTCTCCAAGAAAATTTCTCATGATGCGCATCTTGTATGATGTTAGAGAAATAATGATAACTATAGCGTAATGCTTAAATACTGTCATTGGATTATTAAGGTTTGATAGTGTTGTATATTTTAGAAAATACAGGGACACTTCTTGGGAACTTAGAGCAGGAGACGAGTTGGACTTGTTGCTGCATGCTTACACTTTGATTCCTCATGATAAAACACATGTGGATGATATTTAAAAGTGCATATGTTAAAGTTTCACTTTGAACTTGTTACTGCATGCTTACGCTTCCTTTTAAAGCTTTTATCTTTTGTAGAAGAGCTTATGTAAGTCTCTCGCAAACTGACTCCAACCCCGCTAAGGCTCTGGCCTTAACTGACTAACCCTTCTAGAGATAAAACTCATTATGGTGAGCACCATATTCAATGATGTTCGCTTGGGGCTCATTAGCCCGTAACTAAACAAATGAATAATCACTCAACCTCGTACATGCTTGGGGCTCTTATAAAAAACAAGCACCATGACTGATTTCATAAATCAGCCAAAGGTAACGTAAAAATTGAGCATCTTGTATCCAGACACTTACTCTCGTAAACTTTGTATCTGGGAGACCCTGCTTGAAAGTAGATGACGTCGTAAAGTGTTGAAGCACTTATAAAAAGAAAAACTAATAGTTGACAGTAATAGTTGACAGACGAACTCTCTCAGTTACATTACAACTTGGACAATTATGTTTTTTTTTTTTTTTAAATATATGACTTTTTAAAAAAAAATTATAAATTGTTTTAGTAAATCATTTATAAACTTTTTTTTTAAAATTAATTTTTTTGTTAAAATAATTATAAACTTTTTTAAAAAATTGTGAATTTTTTTGATAAAATAATACGTATCTCACAGTAGTTATGTGAACGAACGGATATCCTATTAATATTTTATATTAAAAACCAAAAGAATCGAAAAATGGAATGAATAAAGGACAATTAGCTTGCTATTATTTTTATTTTTTTGGGTATCAAAGGTCCGCAAAATGTAATGAAATATCTTTTGAAATGTAATTGAATTGGCTGAATATATTGTGGAGTCTCTTTATTAATTTTATCGTATAATTATATTTTATTTTTGATTTTTTGCAAAATTTATTTTTATGGATTTTCTAAATAAATAGTTTTGAAAAATAAAGATTAAATTAAAATTCTTTAGAATAAATTACCACAAGAGAAAAAAAATAATATTTAAAAAAATAAATAGAGAAGATGCGAATTCAATTGGTGGGTGCCCTCTTTAAAATAATATTTTTTGTTTGAAACTATGATAATTTGAGGATTAAGTTGGAAAGGGTAGAATTATGTGATATATAGTTTCGAAAGTGATGGTATTTTGGTATAAAGTAAGTTCTATTTTTATTTGAAAATGGAGAACTGGCATTGTAAAGAAGGAAAATGGCGGTTTGATGTAGACAGGCAGTGAAGAAAAGGGAAAAAATAGAAAGGGAAGGAGTGTAGGTGGTTTGATCTAGACAGGCAGTGAAGAAAAGGGGAAAAATAGAAATGCTTATTAAAACAAAGTTTTCCAAGTCGACCACCAGCGGATCCTGACCAACTACTAAGTGATTAGAAAAATGATTGATCGGTGGATTTGGAAACTGGACGACCTCCGGCGAATTTTTCTAAAAGGAAAGAGACAATCCACGTCTGCATAATTATTTTTGTATTTGATTTAATGTTATTATTATTCATTAAAAATTCACACATCTGAAAATATACTTTTACATGCGTGCAGTGTGAATGAAATTTCGTTTCCAAAACGTGGTGTTATTGACAGAAATAGCCCTCTAGTATTTGCAAGAATGAGCTCAGAAAGTCTTATATATCACATAAAAAAGTATTTTGAAGATTAACATGGCCATTCCATCAAGTTCACAGTATATTCTTATTTATATCACAATTATTAGAGGGTAATTTAGTATTTGTCATATATAGGATATTCTCTTTAGGCCCTATGTGACATTCTTATCTTTGTTCATTTTGTGTATAAATAGGTGTACTAGGTTTACATTTATAACAATCCAATTTCCTTCAATCATTAGTGGCAGCTTTTAGCATTTATTCCTTTTCTCTATTCTTCCTCAATTTCATCACCTTGCACTAACAAATTGATATCTAGAGCTCTTGGTTTGTTCTGAAATTCTGGGAAACACGAGTGATAGTGAGCTGTGTGTTTGATTTTTGAATCTTGAACAAAAATCTGAAACAGAATCACACTGATTCTGTGGGTTTGGGAAACACTGAGTGAGAAATCTGAGATCTGAGTTTTTGTGCAAGGTTTAAGATGAATGGAGACAGTAGTTTGAACACTAAACTTCCAGTTTTTGATGGCAAAAATTGGAACAGATGGAAGATACAAATGCGTGTGCTGTTTGGTGCTCAGGATGTTCTGGATCTTGTTTCTGAAGGTTATGTTCCAGTTGCAGCAGATGCTACTGAAGAACAAAAATCATAAGAAAGAGCTGTGAGGAAGAGGGATCAGAAAGCTCTGTTCTTTATCCATCAGTGTGTGGATGAAAATGTGTTTGAGAAGATTGTTGATTCGACGACGTTGAAAGGGGCATGGGATATACTGACCAGATGTTATGGTGGTGACGTATCAGTAAAGAAGGTAAAGCTTCAGTCCCTGCAAAAACAATATGAAAATCTCAGCATGAAGAACAGTGAGAAAGTTTCTGAGTATATCTCCAGAATGATTCTGATCACTAATGAGATGAAGGCTTGTGGAGAAACACTTTCTGAACAGGTAATCATAGAAAAGATTATGAGGTCACTTACTCCTCAGTTTGATTACATTGTTGATTCTATTGAACATTCTAAAAATCTGGAAACCATGAGAATAGAAGAGTTGCAAAGCAGTCTAGAAGCGCAAGAGTTGCGTCTGACTGAAAGAACTTCTGAGAGGGAAGTGGAGCAAGCTCTGAAAGCTTCTTTTGTCAAGAAGGACCAGAAGCAGAATAGACATGGTGATAAATTCCAGAAGTCAGAAACCTCAACTTCTGATGAAAAGAAATATCAGAAGGGAAAGGAAATGTATGACAAGAAGAAGGTTCAATGTTACTGCTGTAAACAGTTTGGCCATTTTGCCAGAGACGGTAGAAACAGAGGAAGGAAATCAGAAGAAGCAAATATAGCCAGAGAAGATTCTGATGATGAACCTGTGCTACTGATGGCTTCTGATTCTGATGGAAATTGTTCAGGAGATTGGTGGTATATGGACACTGGCTGTTCAAACCACTTGACTGGGAACAAACAATGGCTAATAGACTTTGACTCCAGAAGGAGAACAAAGATCAGATGTGCTGATGATAAGTACCTTAATGCAGAAGGTATGGGAAATGTTAGAGTCAAAGTGAAGAATGGAAAAAACATTCTGATCAAAGATGTTTGGTATGTTCCTGGAATTAAAAGCAATCTGATGAGTGTGGGTCAGCTTATTGAGAAAGGTTTTTCAGTGGTTATGAAGGACAACCTCTTGATGTTGTATGATTCTAATCAGAAGTTGATTATGAAGTCTGAGCAGGGAAGCAATAGAACATTCAAGGTGAATGTAGAAACTTCTGAAGCGGAGTGTCTTAGTGCAGAAGGCGCTGAAGCTGACAGTAAACTGTGGCACAAGAGGTTGGGGAACTTGAACTATAAAAGCTTAGGGCATCTAAGTTCTAAGAAGCTCGTACATGGCATTTCGAAGATTGTGAAGCCTCAGAAGTCATGTGAGATATGCATGAAAGGAAAGCAACCCAGATTGCCATTTGCATCAAAAGTAGCCCCCAGAGCAAAGCATGCTCTGGGAGTAGTACATTCTGATGTGTGTGGACCATTTCCAGTACCTTTACTTGGAGGAAACAAATATTTTGTGTCTTTTATGGATGAGTTCACAAGAATGGCATGGGTAACACTCATCAAGTTCAAGCATGAAGTGTTTACTGAGTTCCAGAAGTTCAAGGTGAAGGCTGAGAAGCAGAGTGGTCAGAAGCTGAAGATTCTGAGAACAGATGGTGGAGGTGAGTATAACGCTATAGAGTTCCAGAAGTTCTGTGAGGAGAATGGAATAGAACATGAGGTTACTGCTCCATATACTCCTCAGCACAATGGTCTTGCTGAAAGAAGAAACAGAACTTTGCTTGATATGACCAGAAGTATGCTGAAAGAGAAGAAGTTACCTCACATGTTATGGGGAGAAGCTGTTGCCACATCAGCATATGTTCTGAATAGGTGTCCAACAAAGAAGCTGAAGGAAACTGTTCCTTTAGAAAAATGGACTGGAGGCAAGCAAAGTGTTAGCCATCTGAAGGTGTTTGGTTCTGTATGCTTCAAACACGTTCCAGATGCTAGAAGACGAAAACTGGATGATAGAAGCAAAACAATGTTACTGGTGGGGTACCACAGTACATGTGCCTATAAGCTTTATTGTCCAGAAACCAACAAAGTTGAAATCAGCAGAGACATCATTGTGAAAGAGTCAGAAACATGGGATTGGAACAAGCTTCAACCAGATTCTGGTGTAGCGCCAACACCAGGGTTAGTTTTTGAAGATTCTTCAGAAAGTTCTGAAGACGAGTCAGAAGATGAAGACTCTGAAGATGAGTCAGAATCTCAGGGAGATTCTGATAGTGGATCTGATTCTGATCCAGATTCTGATGATGATCCAGAATCTGGTGGTGATTATACTTCTGGAAGGGAAAACTCTGAAGACATGGGGTCTGGAGAACAAGTTTCCAGAAGTAACTTTGAAGGTGGTAATTCTGAAGGAAATAACTCTGGATAAAGTCCAGAAGCCATCACAGTTCCGAGTTCTGGAGAAGCTTCAGAACAAGATCAGAGGCCACAGAGAATCAGACGAATACCAAGTAGGTTTGTAGATTTTAGCATGTTGCATGACACTGAAGTAGATTTTGAAGGAGAAATCGTTCAGTGTGCCATGCTAGTAGATTCTGAACCAGTGGGTATTGAAGAAGCGCTCAAGAAGAAAGTATGGCTGAATGCCATGAAAGAAGAACTTGAGGCTATTGAAAGAAACAAGACTTGGAAGCTGACAGAACTTCCAAAAGGCAAGAAAGCCATCAGCGTCAAATGGGTTTTCAAGCAGAAGCTAAAGCCAGATGGATCAATTGGCAAACACAAAGCGAGACTAGTGGCCAGAGGTTTTCTTCAGAAACCTGGACTAGATTACTTTGAGGTGTTTGCGCCTGTAGCTAGACATGAAACAATCAGACTGGTGATTGCTTTAGCTGCAAACAAAAATTGGCCTTTGATACATCTGGATGTGAAGTCTGCATTTCTGAACGGTCCATTACAAGAAGAAGTTTATGTGTCACAACCTCCTGGATTTGTGAAAAAGAATCAGGAAAGGATGGTATACAGGTTAAATAAAGCTCTGTATGGACTGAAGCAAGCGCCCAAAGCCTGGAATTTGAAGATTGATTCGTTTTTCAAGGAACCTGGGTTTCAGAAGTGTGAGATGGAGTATGGTGTTTATGTTCAGCATACTTCAGAAGGTAATATGATTCTGGTCTGTTTGTATGTTGATGACATATTACTCACAGGAAGTTCTGAACAAGAAACAGTTGAGTTCAAGAAAGTTCTGATGAATGCGTTTGAGATGACATATCTTGGAAAAATGAGTTTCTTTCTAGGAATGGAATTTATATACTCTGAGAAAGGAATCATCTTACATAAGAAGAAGTATGAACTAGAGCTTCTGAAGAGATTTGAGCTAGCAAATTTCAAGGTTGCTATCACACCTGCTGATACGAATCAGAAGTTGGATTCTGATTCTGATGGAGAGGATGTGGATGCTACAACCTTCAAACAGATGGTTGGTTCTCTGAGGTATTTGTGTAATACCAGACCTGATATTTGCTATGCAGTTGGAATGGTCAGCAGATACATGAGCAAACCAAAGTGGTCTCATTATCGAGCTGCTGTCAGGATTCTGAGGTATGTAAAAGGAACTCTGAAATATGGAGTGTTATTTCCTTCTGGAGGAAAGATCAAATCAGAACTTCTGAGTTATTCTGATTCTGATTGGTGTGGAGATAAAGTTGACAGAAGAAGTACTTCTGGATACTTGTTCAAGTTTCTGGGAGGTCCAATTTCTTGGAGTTCCAAGAAACAGCCTGTTGTGGCTTTGTCAACATGTGAAGCTGAATACATTGCAGGTGTTGTAGCTGCTTGTCAAGCAGTTTGGCTTTTGAATCTGCTGCATGATCTGAAGGTTGAAGTTGAGGAACCTCTGAAGCTGATGATTGATAATAAGTCTGCAATTAATCTTGCAAATAATCCAGTGCTACATGGAAGAAGCAAGCACATTTAGACGAAGTATCACTTTCTTAGAAGTCAAGTGCAGAAAGGAGTGTTAGAAGTTCTGCACTGTAGCACTCAGAAGCAGCTAGCAGATGTTCCGACAAAGGCGATAAAAATAGACCAATTTCTTCGCTTGAGAGATGAAATTGGTGTTGTTAATTTCTGATAAGTTACTAAATTATGGGATGGTATTAGAGGGTAATTTAGTATTTTCCATATATAGGATATTCTCTTTAGGCCTTATGTGGCATTCTTATCTTTGTTCATTTTGTGTATAAATAGGTGTATTGGGTTTACATTTATAACAATCCAATTTCCTTCAATCATTAGTGGCAGCTTTTAGCATTTATTCCTTTTCTCTCTTCTTCCTCAATTTCATCACCTTGCACTAACAACAATTACAACCATAAATAGCATTCATCTAGTAAGAAGTAGTCTCTTGTTTTTCTCTTTCTCTTTACAATCAACAAAAAAAAAGAGTGTGCTTAAAGTGTATACTATTCTGATGAGTTTGGAGTTAGGTTCCATTGCAATTAAGTGTCAAGGTTCAGACACCAACCCATTTCAACCATCATCCCCATCTTTTTTCCTGTTTTTGATAGCTCTACCTTGTCACGCAGTTACAACCATGTCTGACTTGAACTTTCCAACTACTATGCTCATGTTCCACTTCACTGGTGTTGTTGGATGTGAGACACTTCTTTGGATTCTCCTCCCTGATTTCTGGAAATGGTATATCATTAACCTCTTCCTTTTACTAGTTACTTCTTTCTGTTTCTTCGACTTCATCAGTAGTAGCGTCACTAAGCTCCTTGTTCAAGCACATTCAAATCCTGCTACTGCTGATCACCCTCTGAATTTGGAATCACGGGAATCTCAGCCGTAAGATATGTAACATGTTTTAAACATGTAAAAGTAGATGCTATGTGGTAATATGTAATTTTTGTTCTTTAGAAGCTAAAATTCTAAAAGGAATAGGTTTAGTTGCGGATGTCAGGTAAAGCATATTGAAGTGTGTGTTTGAATACTTTTGTTTGTATATCTAAAACGACTTTCTCTTATTGCTTTGTTCTTATGTTTATTTTTGTTTTAGAATTTCAATTTGAGCATAAGTCAACAAATTAGATGCCTCATAGATTGATTTAGCGATTGTCTTGGTCAGAATCACATATACTGCAAGCAACTCAAACAATGAAGTGTTTAATGGTTGCTATTGTTGGTGTATAAGAATTAATGATGAACAAAGAATAAATTTAAGAGAGCAAAGAGAATGACGGTTGTAAAAGCTGCAAGAGGAATAAATGTTATTGTTGTATTTATGACATTTACAACTAGTCTATTTATATACAAAAAGAAATGACACATACACTACAAAATAACTTGTGTTTTGCCACGTGAAAGCCACGTCGCTAACACCCAAATCACGTCACTATTCAACTTTTGCCACCTTAAGAAACACGTCGCTGTATAGCGCGTGGCAATCTTGTTGCGGCGTGAAAAGCATGTCACAAAGTTGCCACGTGAAATTCACGTTGCAACAGACTTTATAGGATGAAAGTGTTCAGAGCAGAGCAGGCAGTTTATATTTATCTTTACGTTTGCTGTTGCGGCGTGTTTTTCACGTCACTAATTAGTGACATGAAAAACACGCCGCAACCTTTTTTTTTTATAAAAAAATTTTGTGTTTTAAATATATTAATTCTGTTATAATAATTAATATTATTTTTTCTTTTATTAAATATATAAATTAAATATTATAATTTATTTATTAAATACAATATTATAAATCAAATTATCAAAAACAAAACTAAATATATCTAAATGTATAAATAAATATACTTAATATTATAAATTTAATAAACTCAAATTTAAATTTATAATATTTTTAAATATACAATATGATTATAAATTTATATTACACAAATAAAAATTAAATACAAAATAAAAATAAAACTAAGCAGAATCATTCGAGTCGTCGGAAAAGTCGGGAAGAAAGTCATCATTATTTTGGTGGTTATTATTTTGGCCACCACTGTTGAGATTTCTACCAAATGCTTGCATAAATTGTCGCATTTGCTCCTCCATATCAGCCTGCCTCTTCGCCATTGCCTCAATTTGTCTATTATGTTCACCCCTCATTGCCTCCATTTGGGCATTCATTTGGGCCTTCAATGCTGCCTCACGATCTTCGGACTCGCGTCTAGCCAATTGTCTTACCAGTTCTAACTGATCTGGTGTCAAATTTGTTTGACGTGACCCTCCTTCACCGTCTGCAGCTCTCTGATACAAATTTCTATCCCCACTCCTCAAGGTGCCCGCCAAAATTCCACCACCAAAAAAACACCCGTTAGGCCCCTTTCCCCCAACAACTTGACTCCAAATATAGAAATCCACATCTGGATGAACCGGTTTTCCTGGAGGAGGAGTATACTGAGGATTATGGGTCAGAAATTCTACAAGCAACGCCTGATAATCCTTCTACACATACAATAAAAAAAATCAAGTTAAATTTATAAGTAACATTAATGAAATTAAATGAAATAAAAAAATAATAAAAAACAAATAGCCACGTGATTATAACGCCACAACTTATCAGTTGCCACTCAATTTTCACGCCACAACATGTCACTTGCTACATGAAAATCACGTCACAAAATTGCTTAAAAAAAATATAAACATAAATTTACTTACCAGGGCTTTTTTTGTGCGCTCGTCAATAAATCCTCTCGATTTCTTTGTCCGAGTTTCCTTAACCAGCTCAGTCATCAATGGTTGTCTCCCCAAACACTTAGCCTAAATAAAAAAATTAACTTAAATTAATAATATGTTATAAATCCAAATATGACTTTAAAAAGTGGTAATAATTACCATGCGTCGAGCATGCTCAGCAGTACTAATACTTCCAACAGCATTAAGGCAACCCCCTTTTTCCGATGCCCTTATCTTCTTTGCAGTTTCAGATTTAGCCTTAAATTCATCTGATTCCCAATACTTAAGAAGTTGTTCAAAAACTTCTTTGCCTATCCATTTGGGACAAATGCCCAAAAGGTGCCAATTCTCTCTAACACGTCGTAGCATGTCAAAAAATCGTCTTGAACTCCTGCCAAAATAATTTTTTTTACTTTGTTATGGTTCAGGGGATCCCAAACACATTTCGCCTGCAATGTTGTATGACATAAAAATAAATAGTTAGATAAATTATAACAATATTGAAAAGGTCATTTAAATTAAAATAACTTAAGAAATAAATTAATTATACCCGAAATTGCTTGAACCATTCTTCTTTATCGGAAACTTCTCTAAAACTCTTTAAAATTTTTGTATAATTCTGCTGAATTATATGATTTATAACCTTAGCAGCAGTCCGGCTCGGCCCGAAACTAAAACAACAATAATTGAATTAGCATAATTAATTATATAAAGTTATATTAAAAATGGAAATGTGTACTTATAAATAAAAATCAATAAATAAGAAACTTACGAGTTCCCTTCAGGCTAAATCCAAAATCTCCCATCAATGGTATGAATCTCACTCGGATCATCATCCACTCGAAGATCTCTCCCATCTATCTGATCATCATCCACACCAAGATCGTCATCATCCGACTCTGTGTGGGATGTGGGGGTGCGACCAGTCTGTGTGGGTCGTGAAGAGGTGGATCCACCAGGTTGCTGGACGGATGGGGGCATCTGTGTAGGAAGTGGGGTGCTGGATCCTCCAGGCTGCTGCACGAATGAGGGCATCTGTATGGGAAATGGAAAACTGTGCTGGAAGGATGAGGGCACCTGTGTCTGCTGGAATGGTAAACCAGGTGGGGCCCCAGATGGACTAATAAAACATGTACTCCCAGATGGGAACTGAAGAGGACTCTGAGATGATAGTAATGAAGTAAATGGTATAGTACTGTCCATGGACATATGATGAACATGACTCTGCGGGGGAGGACACGTGGCTGAGTGAGGTGACTGACATACTACTACCCTTGGACGCCTGGGCTTCCTACCACTATCACTAGGACCTTTACCCTTATTATCTTTGGGTGGCATTTTTACCTAATTATAGAAAATACAAGTTAACATATAATATATTTGAATTATAAGACACAATTCTCATGAATACATATTCATTAACTCATTCAATAGATGGTTCGTCAAGTAAAATTACAAGACACAATTCTCATGAATACATATTCATTAAATCATTCAATAAATGGTTCGTTAAGTAAAATTACAAGACACAATTCTCATTAATATAGGTTCACTATTCTAAATCGTCATGCTCGTCATCCATATCATCCTCGTCATCTGATGTGATAGTATCCTCAGATCCAGAATCTTCATGATCTTCATCCTCATCAACTTGATTCCCCTCAACCATTGTACCAGACAAACTTGTAGTGTGTTTGTGATACGGTGGGAGAACTGACTTGAGGTTTTGCGTTTGTATTCACACTTGTTCAGTTTAGCAAGAGTCGCCACCGACTTTTTATTTTATCCTAAGGAAAGGTTAAAAAGCACAGGAAAAACCTTTTGAGATGTTTCGTGGGTTCGGGGGGTAGATTATGAAAAGGGAAGGTATTAGCACCCTTTTCATCCATGGTTATCCATGGGCTCTTAGTTACTTGGTTTTAGATCACTTGCCTTTGATTTTCAAATTGTTTGAAATTGTGGTGTGTGTGTGTGTTTTGAAAATGTTTTGAAAGAGATGCCTTGTCTTAGGCAACCAATGTAATGACTCGTGTTTGAGTGTTTTACAAAGGGGTGTATCTTTTCGAAAAGATGTTTCAAATGTTTTTGAAAGTTTAGTTTTGAAAGTGTTTGTGGTTTTGAAAAGTAGGCAAGTGTTTTTGCAAGTTTGATCAAGTAACTAAGAGTTTGTCTACCCCTATTGTACTCAAAGGTTTTTCTCATGTTTTAACCCTTTTAACAATTTTGTTCCACCATTGTATTTGGTGGGCAATCTTGTATTAGGATGTTTAACAGGACAGGTGCGGGTCATCGTATGGACCATGAATGCAATGATGCCAAGTGTCTTTGGCAATTTGCTTGAAGGGACTATGATCATTTTGATAGGCAACTTTCGAAAGCGTCATCGAGGGACTATGATCATTTGAATTGTTTTGCCAAAGAGACTCGACGTACAAGCATGGCCCATTTTGGAAGGCAACAAGCGGGATTACCCTAGGGGTGCAAGTGTGATTGTGTATTGATTTCATGCATTTGTCTTTGTATTAGATTATCTAGCGTTTGATTTTATGTACATACAAATCCTAGGTCTAACCATGGTATATTTGAAAGCGGTAAATTGCGGGAATTTAAAGTCTACGCTATTACAAATAAGTATCCGGGAGTGGGGGTACAATTATTTACAAATGGGGATGAGACTTTAAGGAGAATAGTGTCCAAATAATTTACAACCAAATCGAATTGCGCAAATGTAAAATATAAGTATAGCAATGTATAAGATAAACAAATGTGTATAAGAGCAATGTAAATGTATTTGTGTATTGTAAATGTGTAAGTGTATGTGTAAATGATTATGTGATTTATTTACAGGTTGAGAAAAATGTGAACTTTAATGTATTATAAAGTATTGTCTACTTATTTGTTTTTTATATTCTTGTATTTTTGTCTTTATGTACAAAACAAAATATTTTAAGAAAAGAAAAGTATTATATATTAATGTACAAGAATAAAATATTTTAAGAAAAGAAAATATTCAAATTCTAAATATTGATGTCTTATATTAAAGAAAAGTATTTCTTATGTATTTACCAATTAATGTATTTTAATTAATCTTTTTATGTACAAAAATTTTAATTAAAAGAAAATGTTTTAAATTTGAGAAAATTATTATGTTCATGTTTTTTTAGTTAATATTCTATA